ACTTTTCCTCCTTGGTTATAAGGGTGCGCTCCAGCTCGTCTTCAGTTGCAGTTGATTATTCAGGATGGCTTTTCTATATTTTAGTTATAATTCCAGTTTGGCAACGGGAGAGTGTCAGTGTAGCTTCCACTGTCTGCTGCAACGTTTAATCTCTTTCTTACACTTCTTAAATACTTTTTAGATTTGACACCTCTGGTGCCAGACTTTGCACTAAGCACCTCCTTCTCCAGGGTAAGAAAACCAACCAAATACTAACTGTGCTACAGGGCTGTTTTGTTTTGAGTTCCTATTTACACATTCCCTTCTTGGACAAGTCAGCTCAAAACTCATTAAGGGAGGCCAAGCAAGGTGGATTGCAGAGTGAGTTGAGCAGGGTAGGGTAGTCACAGCCCAAATAGGGACAAAGGAAGTGCCTGAGGTGGAGAAGACAGCAGGCAGCAAAGTGCCAGAGCCCAGCAGGGTAAGGAGGGCATCCACATAAAATTAGGATGGCTCAACAAGAAGAGTGTCAGAAGCCAGCAGGGTGAGGGCAACCACATGGGAGAACAATGGGAAACAGGCTGTTGGAGCCCTAGAGAGGTAAAGGGGCATGCCTACGAGAGTGCAGCCTCAGAACAGGGGATAGAAGCTTGAATGTACTGTGTACTTTAGTGATCAAAGTAGTATTTAGGGTTTGCCTAGCTTCCCCAGAGCCCTGGTTCCTTTTTCTCTACTTCTCATAACAGCCCCCTCCTCCCCACACCAAAAGGACAATTTTACATTCCTCAAGCAGGCACTTTTTTACACAAAAGTTTCAGAAACGCAATATTCACAGTAAAAAATAAATAAAAGTAGCCCAGCCAGCATGGCTCAGCAGTTGGGCATCGACCTAGGATCCAGGAGCGCAAGGTTCGATTCCTGGTCAGGGACAAGCCCAGGTTGCGGGCTCAATCCCCAGTGGGGGGCATACAGGAGGCTGCCAGTCAATGACTCTCTCATCATTGATGTTTTTTTCTCTCTCTCTCCCTCTGCCTTCCTCTCTGAAATCAATAAAGACACATTAAAAAGATAAGTAAAAGTAAATAATAATAATAATAATAATAATAATTTTAAAAGAGAGATCACTGGATTTTACAAAGCATTTTAACAAACCCTAAGTCATTTCTTTTGTCTCATAAACACTCTGTGGGCTGGCTGGGAAGGCATTATTATCCACATTTTACAAACAAGAAAATTAAGACTTAGATACTAAGGCCCAAGGCCAAACACAACTATCAGTAGCCACTTAGGACTAGAACCCAGTCTTGAGTTCTAGTGTGGTCATTCTACAATACTATGGGTTCATCATTTAAATAACTTTTTCCTTTAGAATGCCCTTTTTCAGTGACATACAATCCTGAGATTTTATTGTGTGGCTCCCATTTCCAGTAAAACCCATTATAAAATATTCTTGCCCAGCCAGGCGTGGCTCAGGGGTTGAGCATCAACCTAGGATCCAGAAGACTGCAGTTCGATTGCTGGTCAAGGCACATGCTCGGTTGCAGGCTCAATCCCCAGTCAGGGGTATGCAGGAGGCAGTCGATCAATGACGACTCTCTCATCATTGATGTTTCAACTCTCTCTCCCTCTCCCTTCCTCTCTCTGAAATCAACAAAGATATATTAAAAAGAAATACTCTTAAGTCCATAACAGAAAAAGTAGGTAATTATCTGCATTACCAAGGATTTCAGAAAAAAGACCACCACAGGTTTTGTTTCAAAGTATACATTACTTTTTCTTTCAATAAAAAACGTGATTTAACTCACGTTAACTAACCGTAAAAAATGTGATTTATCTACAACTTTCCAGGAATATGTTCACTTTAAAAAGTTAAATATACAAATAAATTACAACTATTTCCATATTATCTCACTGGATTCACATAAAAGGCCTGCAAAACAGGCAACTTTAGGGAAGAGGATCTAAACACAGATTAAGTGACTTGTATAAAGTAAGTTATAGAGCTGGAACTAGAACCTGCTGGAATTTTCTTACCACCCAAAGGCCTGAATTCAAGCCTGGTTCTGCTATTAAATGTGTAGTTATTTTTTTTATTTTTTAAAAAATATATCTTTATTGATTTCAGAGAGAGGAAAGGAGAGTGAGAGAGTGAGATAGAAACATCAATGATGAGAGAGTCATTGATTGAGCCCACAACCCGGGCATGTGCCCTGACCGGGAATACAACCCCGATCACCTGGATCCTAGCTCAACACTCAACTGCTGAGCCACGCCTAGCCAGGCTGTAGTTATTTTTTAAGAAAAGAAGATATTGCCTGAGTCTACCTAACTTTAAGAACTTTGGATATATGGGGACATTTGTAATACTTTCAACAATAAAGATAAATTTTAAAAAACAAAAAAAACCCCACTTTGGATATAAAAGCATGCCTGTTTCCAATCCATATCTTGTTAAAACAAAATGAGAGAAAGAAACATCAATGTGAGAGAGAAATATCAATTGGCTGCCTCCTGCACACTCCCTACCAGAGACTGAGCCAGCAACCCAGGTATGTGCCCTGACCAGGAATCAAACCAGGGACCTCTTGGTGCATGGGACAACATTTAACCAACTGAGCCACACTGGCCAGGGCTTAAAGTATATGTTTTAAACAAAGGTAAGTAAGATAAAGAACAAAATACTTAGGGTATAAACACATGAAGTATCAAAGTTTCTTAAAAACATGATATCATCCAAAAATACAGCATTACTCCTCCAAAGAACAAAATCCAAGGGTGTCCACTAAATCCAAACTCCACAGCTGACTGGCTTTAATGAGGAAACTTTAAAATGACACCCCACCCCAACTCCCCAAAAAGTATAACCTTTGCATAGAGAGTGGGTATTTTAGGCACAAAAAAGAAGTCTAGGTTATATCCTTTGGGACAAATAGCAGGAAAAATTTATGCCTTAAAAATGTTCACATTCTCCCCTGGATGGGTAGCTCAGTTGGTTAGTGTCGTCTCGATATGCCAAGGTTGTGGGTTCGATCCCCGGTCAGGGCACATATGAGAAACAACCAATGAATGCATAAATAAGTGGAGGAATAAATTGATATTTCTCACTCTCCCTTCCCCTACCTCCCCTTTTCTCCCCCTCTCTCTCAAGTCAATCAATAACTTTTTTAAAAAATTAGAAAAAAAGTTCACATTCTGATTTTTTAACTACCTCACTTTTGGGACTAAAGAATAAAAAGCTATTATTACTAAATTTGTCATAGCAGTTTTCATTTATTGAATCAACAAAATTTTTACTAAGTGTCTACTATGCTAGGCACTGTTCTAAACCCTGGAGATATACAGCAGTCAATAGGACAGAAATCCTGACCTTGTGGAGTGGAGTTTATACTCTAGCAGGACTGATGAACAACACATAAACAGAAATACATTGCAGAAGCTGAAAGAATGGTGGTAAGTTCTACGCGGGGGAGGAGTAAGGGAAATAGACTACTGGGTGTTATTTTATATAGGATGGCTAGAAAAGGCCTCAATGAGTTAATATTAGCCATGGGGGTATCTAAAGGAAGAGTGTTCCAGAAAGAAGGAACAGAGGAAGAGCGATTATTAAGTTTGAGATGCTTCTGAGACATCGAAGGGGAAACACTGAAGAGGTGGTCAGATAAACGAGTCTTGGAGATCGGGGGAGAGGACATCCTTGAGATATATCTTTAAATACAGCCTGATATGCCATGACACCAAATGAGACCACCTAGAAAGTCAGTCAATGAAAGAGAAGAAAAGAACTAAAAACTGAGCCCTACGGTCATATAACATTTAGAGACTGAGAAGATTAGAAGGAACTAGCAACAGAGACTGAGAAGAAACAGCCAGTGAGGGAAGAGGTAGTGGTGTTTCAGAAGTGAAGTAAAAAAAGGGTTTGGGGACAGAAGTGATCATCTATGTTAAATTCTGCTACAGGTCCATTAAGAGGGCTGCTAGCCGACTGTTAGATTTAGGAATGCAGATGTGGTAGACTGCAAAAATGGACCACAAATTCTCACACCAAGAGGTAGAGCCTATTGCTCCACCCTTAAAATTGGGCTTGTCTATGGGAATTGCATTGGTGAATAGAACTTCGGCAAACAAAATGCAAGAATAGGCTTGCAAAGTGTTGTGCATTGGGATGTCCCCTCTTTTGCTACTAGAAATTCTTTCACCATGATGTGAATAAGCATGCTGAAATGAAATACACATGGCCATTGCTCCAGCTGACAGAAAGCCAATGCCTAGACACATGAGTGAGGCCATTCTAGTTAGGAAGACCAGCCAGGTCAGTGCTAACCAGAGGGGCCCCATAGAATTATAACAAATAAAATGGTTTATGTTCTAAGCCACTGAATTTTGGGGTGGTTTGTTTTGAAGCAAAAGCTTGATAAAGACGAGGAGAATGGTGACAGACAAGAGCTATTTCAATGGAGTAGAAGGCATGGAAATCTGGTTAGAGTTGGATTAAGAATGAATGGACAGAAAGAATGGAACACAAGGCCTCTGACTAATCCTCCAGAGGATTCACTTTCTAACAAGGCCATTTCCTCCACCAGGAAACTACACTGTTACATGGTTTACCAGGTGTTCCCTACCTCCTTCCAACAGTGGCACAATGGCAAAATCCTTCTACTGAAGCACTTAACTTAATACATCCAGTTATGATGTTCCAAACACACCTCCTCACAAGATGTGGAGAGGATGGAGAGATAAGGGAACTACCTATTCTCCTGCTTTACTGCCAATAAGTTTTACCAATAAATTTGACTTTATATTTACACCTTCAGTAGGTGAGCAGTATGAGTGTATTTGTATGTATCCACATGAGCACATATGGCTCCCTACAGGGCACCTAACCATCTCTTGACTAGCTTTTACATGCTCATTACTTCTCATTTTCCAGGTAAAATTCTGAAAAAGACTACAATTCCATTTAAAAGCACTTATACAAATATTTCAAACAGCTTTTTAAAATACAAAATATACAAATAACTTACTTGGCAATCCGCAGTTTCCCGACTTCACCTCTTCCAGGGGCTTTAGCCCATTGCTGTGACAAATATTTAGGAACCTAAAACAAAGCAAAGGATTAATAAGACTATGTTTTGAATATTAACAAATCTTTTTAAACATAAAATGATATACTGCTTCTATTTTACTTTTCGCCTATAATAAATAATCATTAATATCAACCTCTCATTATATGTTTTGCACTAGAAGGATATTAAGATACGTAAGAAATGATTTTAGTTCTCAAAGAGCTCGAAGTCAATCAAGTTGGTGACACAAAACTAACACAGGTCAAACAACAATAATGAAGTATTAACTTAGAATTAACTTATGTTCCCAACTAAGTCCAATATAAGTTCAGAGATGAGAAAGGCTACCAGAAAAGACTTCTCAGAGTAGCATAACACTCTGATATAATAATATTTAAGACACCACTGAGTTTAAGATGATTTCAAAAGTTAAGTTTTATGATGGATAAGACTGTAACTCTTACCAATATGCATGATCTGCTGAAATAAAAGAAATTATTAAGTAGCTAACATTTATATAAATACTACTTTTCTGACACTGTTATAGCGCTTTCCATATATTTATGTATTTAATGCTCACATTTCTTAGGAATGTACTATTGATTATCCCCATCTAACAGATGGATCTGAACCACCCAGGTATTATATAATTCAGTCAAGGTTATATAATGCAAATGATGGAGCCAGAATTCAAACCCAGGTAATCTGGTTCCAGTATCTATGTAACCAATACACTATATTGTGTCTGTAATTAGATATATGCAATCAGAAAGGTTGTAATTCTAAAATAGTTAAGAAAATGTATGTTGAATCCCTACTGTGTACCTTAACTCACTTCTTCTAAGAAGTAGTTTGAACTCTGGAATCATCACATACCTTTACAGTTATCCTATTGTGAAGAGTAAGATAATATATTAGAGCATGAAGCACAATGCCTTACACAAACAAGTACTCAACGAGTGTCAAGTGTCATTATTTCCCACAATAATCCTGGACTGATTACATGAACATGAATGCATAAATGAGTCAGAGAGAGCTTCCAAAGATAGAAAGGAAAAAAATATCTATTTAGCAAAATTACATTTGCAAAAAGAAACACCTATTAGTAAAATTACAGTCCTTTGGATATAGCAAAAATTCAGGAAATAAAGGGTCAAAAGGAGACTCTCATTTGTCTAATTATGTATATGTATTCTTTGTAATAAAATTTATTAAACAACTATTGTCAGACAATGTGCTAAAAGTTTGGAAAGAGGGAAGGAAGCCAACAGCATCAGGTACCACCCTAGGCATTTTACATCCATTATCCCAATTAACCCTTCAATCACCCCACAAAATCCACGATCATTCACCTTATTCTATAGGTAAAGAAAACTGAGGCTCAAAGGGTTGTAGTAACACATTTAGCTAGTATCAGACACAAAGCTTGACTCCAGATTGGTCTGGTGTCCTCTTCCCTACACCACTAAAGAAGAATATTTAAAAGATCAAAGGGAAATGAGGTTTTGGAGATGCTACACCTTAACAAAATTTCAACACCACTGCACTCCACTTATTCATACAAGCTTAGAGGACTAGGCAAACTCCTTATGGTAACTGTATCTACCTATTTGGTCTCTTTTGATTACGGGTGAGAAGAAAACCCATTAAAGCACACAGAGGATTTACTGACCAGGTAACTGAAAACTCCAGAGGTAGCTTTAAGGTGGCTTGATTAAGGGCTCAAAGATGTCATCAGGACTCTTTCACAATCTTTTACTTCTCTCACTCACGTTGACTCACTTCTGTGTCAGCCTTCCCCTTGTGTAACAAGACAGCTAAAGTAGCTCCAGAAGAACAGGAGTCCTCCTTCTCAAAAGTCCCCAGCAAAAATGTGATTGTCTCTCATGGCTCTGAGTAGGTCATGTGTTGAGCCGATCATTGAACCCAGAGATGAGATCCCTTCACTGGCAGTTCCCTTTGGGGAGCTGCAGTCACCCCATTAGAATCACACAGAGTGAAAAGGGGATCAGTAATATCCACAAAGTAAAATCAGGGTGCTGTTACAATGTCAGGGTGCTGGTTAATTAAAGAAGTAGATGTCCACAACATTGCTTGTCAGAATTAAATATAAGATCTAAAATTAATTTGCACAAATACTGTTACAACAAATAAAACATTGAATTCTTGCCTCAATCTTGAAATACTGCCTAACATTAGCTTTTATTTCTTTGTCTTTTTGATTTTTAACTCCATTTAAACTTTGTGTCAATTACCCTAATGCAAAGAAAATGCTACCTTTTGCAGATAGCGGCCTGCTTTACATATAAATCATAAGCTATACAGCCTAATAAAGTTCTTAGGGGGAAGACAGTATCTTTTCATCATATTCCAAGTTACTAGTTCAAATGAATCCTATATTTAGATGCCCTAAGGCTTCCTCAATAACAGTCTCCCTTCCACAATCTGTATTTCAAGCAACCATTCTGGCCACCATTTCCTAACTTCCTGGCTCTCTCCTCAGTACTCAGACTCCAACAATTGTTCCATCACTTCAAATCACTGACTCTAACGTCTTTACATTGTCCCCTATCTGCCAGTCCTCACTTCTCTCTTTAAAGGAACTACATTTCATAGTCCATCATTATAATAATTCCACTGCCCTAATCTCCATCACACTGGCCTGGCCAAACCTTAATCCTGATTAAAGCCAATCTGTAGTACTGTTTATTTATTAATTCATTTATCTATCGATTATTTGATTTGAGTATATTCCTCCTCTTCCACACTTGCACTGATAAGCTGAAGAAAAACTCACAATCATGGTCTCCCCTGAAATATATGGCTACTAACATCAAGTAAGCCCTTTAAGATGCCTGGCAATTTAACTGCACCTACCTAATCAATTCACTCTCCCACTGCAGATGGTCACATGTTCTCTTCACTCCTCAAATCTATATTACCTCTTCCTTCCTCCTCCCTCTGTGCTAATAACCTGATTTCCTCTCTTCCACTGAGGAAAGACAGCAAAGAGAACCGTGCCTAGCCAGACTGGCTCAGCTGTTTGAATGTCGACCCATGCACCAAAATGCTGCTGGTTGGATTCCTGGTCAGGGCACATACGTGGGTTGTGGGTTTGATCCCCAGTCAGAGAGCTTACGGAGGACAACCATTCCAATCTATGTTTCTCTCTCACATCAATGTCTATGTGTGTGTGTCGGTCTGCCTGTCTGTCTCCCTTCCTCTCTCTAAGCATATCCTCAGGTGAGGATTTAAAAAAAGAGAGCGAGAACGTCTGATGCCACTGAGACAAACCTGCGGCCTTTTACTCTGCTTTCCTCTCTTAAAACAATATGTAAAATATGGCCAATCCCTCAACTTGTACACAAATTTAATTTCTTTCCCTGTAGTCTAAACATCTTTCTTTCAATTCTACCCTTTATCACCCTGGCCGGCGTGGATCAGTGGTTAGAGTGTCTGCTGGGCAACAGAAGGGTCGGGAGTTCAATTCCCAGTCAAGGGCACACACCTGGGTTGCAGGTTTGATTCCTGGCCCCAGCTGGGGCTCGTGTGGAGGCAACCAATCACTGTATCTCTCACACTGATATTTTTTTCTCTCCCCCCCTTCTACTCTCTAAAAATCAATGAAAAAAGGATTAAAGATGGTGGCAGACTAAGTGAAAGCTACACTGACACTCTCCCGAGACCAACTGTGATTACAACTAAAATACAGAAAAACCATCCTGAATAATCAACTGCAACTGAAGACGAGCTGGAGAGCATTCTCACAACCAAGGAGGAAAAGTGGAGACCAAATAGAGACTGGCAGGAAGTGAGGAGGCCTGAGAGGGCTGGCTGGGCTCCCACAGGCAGCAGCTGAAGGTCCAGAGGGATATCTCAGCTGAGGGGGTTCCCACTGAGGACTCTGGGGCCTACATCCCAGGCTGGGTTTCCCAGCCAAGAGCACCAGAACTGAGAAAGGTGCCCACATAATAATTGACTATGAAAAGCAGCAGGGTTTTTGTCTGCCAGGGAAAGACAGCTAGAACTCCAGGAACCCTCTTGAAGAGCCAACGCACAAAGTTTTGTGTACAGCCACTCACCTTGGGGTCAGGCAGAGGGAGGAAGGACAGAGTGGACTGGAGCTGTGTGAGGAGAGTCTAGGGTTGTCGGGTCTGGAGATAGAGCTCAAATGGCACCCCTCTGGATTCCTGTGCCAAGTCATTCCCCCATACTGCAGAGGACATCTTTCACAGGCACACATTTATCTTCCAAGCAGCTTTTGCCTGAGGGGGAAGCAATTGCTTAACCCTACGGAGCTTCTACAGCCTGAGGCTCATTAAGAGAATCAGATTAATCAGCCTGCAGGCAGAGGCAGGCTTCAGAGTGCTTTGAGTCTTTGCCTGATCTGCCTCAGGATCCAGGCCTTGGAAAAGCAGACTTTGGTGTACATCTTGGTCCTGTCTAACTGCACCCAGCCCAGCAGAGGTGACCTCAAGCCAAGGGTTGTTGATAGCTCAAAACAGGGTACTCGGAGCCAGTCACAAACAGCGTCTGACATTGGCCTGCACCAGAGAGACGGGTGAGACTCCAGTCTCTTCCAAAAGACTGAGAGTTCTAGCAAATCTACCTAATACATAGAAACAAACCCAAAAAGGCAGCCAAAATGGGGAGACAGAAAAACAAGCCCCAAATGAAAGAACAAGAGAAGTCTCCAGAAAAAGAGCTAAATGAAATAAACATAAACAATCTAACAGATATAGAGTTCAGAATACTGATTGTAAGGATGCTCAACAGCATGAAAAAAGATATGGAAACTATGAAGGAAATTAAGAATGACATAGCAGAAATAAAGAATATATTGGAAGGAATACACAGCAGATTAGAGGAAGCTGAAGATCAGATCAGTGAATTAGAAGACAGGGTAGAAAAAAATCACTTAGAGATCCAAAAAGAAAAAACAATTAGAAAACAGGACCACAGTCTAAGGGTGCTATGGGACAACATGAAACATACTATTTGCATTACAGGAGTGACAGAAGGGGAAAAGAAA